AACGCTGAGCAGGAAAATGGGTACGATAAAAACTATTCTCTTTTATTGTTATTTTCTTAGATGTGGCTGCACTCTTCTAATGTCAGTGTGAAACCAAGGCGCATCAATTACAGGTGATAGCGATAGAAGCTATGCTTCTTCTTATGAGCACGCTTGTGTCAAATTATCGTCTGTTTTGCTTTATTTACATATCCGCGTATACATACACATATACTTATATGTATACCCTGCAAACAAATGCTCCCGAAATCTTTAAGAGTGTCGGAAATTTGTTACGATTCTTTTAGATATCTATAAAGAAAAACATATGAAGCGGTCGACAAGAACTAGTAAAGAAATTTCTGTACGATTTCTTAAAGAAAATTCTTAAAAAAATTGTTAAACGATTCAGAATTCTATGAAATCCTGGTATGCAGGGTATACATATACATACGAATATGGATAGATAAAGAAGATGTGGATGACACAAGGAGTTCATACCAACGGTAAATTTTGTTTTTGTACGATTGCTACAACCTGTAGTTGTTGAATCATGGTGTGAAACCATGGTTGAATCAACGGTTCTGTATTCACAATGTGCGTATACATATATAAGTGCGTGATAATTATTAAAACTTACTTAATTTACTAAAAATACATCATAAATGTAAAAAGTATGTTTACATTTCATTGTGCGGGGTTTTAATGCAACTATTTTGCCAAAGTGTCTACATAAATATAGTGTTTATTGTGTGAAATAGCGCCGAGAGGTTAGTTCAATTTACAAACTTTAACAACAAATAACTTAAAAACTATAAGCCTCCTGCGGCTAAAAGTATATATATTTGCAATCAGGAGAACTCCCCCTACCCCCCCATAGCCACCTTTTTTTTGTACGCGGGGGATGCCGTTACAGCCCTATTCCGGTTTTGCAACAGAATGACAATTGATCATCCTTCATTGTCGTGATTTTGTCATTGTCGTTGCACGTTGCTATTCCTAATAAAAAATGACAAGCGAAAAGCTTTTGTCAACTTACCATGCATGGTGAAAAGTTCATTGTTGTAGAAACAGCTGGTCAACGCTATTATTTGCAAAAAATATGAGCGGTGAAACACCAGAAAAGTGAGTATTTGTGTGAAATAGATAAATTCGTATATTTATAAAATTTATAAACATTTTAGACGTGCAAAATATGAGCGGACGACGCAGGAGCAGCTGCAATTTTATGTGCAGTTTTGTAGGGAGCATCCGGAACTGCTCGTCTTCCACAAGCACGGCTGCGCAAATAACTAAAATTTGTTCTGCCATTGAAATTAGTTGATTTTTATATTTTTTCACAAATTTATTAAATCGTCGCACTTTTTAAACCAACACAAACATATGTTTTTGCCTTGTCACCTGCCCAAAAGGTCATGACAATAAAAATGACAATTGGCATGATTCGAGCTTTTGAATTTTGCTGCGAATACCAAAAAGCTGCAATTGTCATTTTTATATCAATTGTCATCGCGGTGAGTTTTGTCAGTGTGGCGGAATAGGGCTGTAAAATTTTCCCTAAGTTAATTTCATCGTGCGGCGATGACAAGTTAAGAATTTGCGATACATTTTCAGGCGAATGTGTGCGAACGTTCACCGAGGGAAGAGGTATGGGACGACAGCTGGCATGGCATCCAGACGGTAATCTGGTTGCTTTAGCATTAAGTTGTAACCGCTTTAAGATATTTGACATAGCTGAAGGCGAGCTAATACAGTGCATTCGTCGCCGGAGAATGATGTTGCATTCACCCAAGTGGAAATTTCTTGGTGACTGGCGGCGATGACGATACAATAAGATTGCTTGATTTATTAGAAGGTCGGCCAATTTATACACGGTAGTAGTGCACTTTAGCGGCACCATATAATATAAATTTTTTCCTGTATTCAACAGTTGCTCGTTTGGAAATCTAATTTGCATACATTTGATGCCAATAGCTCGCAACAAACAAGCCAGTTCTCAAAGAGCCCAAATTGATTTTAGTCATGCAACAGCTCCACATAACTCCGCCATAGACACACCAGTTGCTGGAGTGCCAAAAAGCTGTGATGACAGTATTTTAATTGATCCACGACAATTGGTGGCATATGGAATGCGTGATGGAAATTTTCTGGTGCTTGATAGCCAATATACTACAAGAGTGAAACGCTGTGATAGTATTTTTTCTTAAATTTCCATCTTTTATTTGCAGTTACATTAAGAAGCTCATAGAGGACAGAGCGGTTGGTGAGGAAGGTGTCGAGTTACTGCAACTGTGAAAATCCGCATTTCGCACGTGCCCCACTCATATGGAATAGTAGCTTATGTCAAAAGGCTGGTTTTAGTATAATGCGGCATTCGCAGCATACCCTCACTGGCGCCGAGCCGTTGAAGAAATTTTGGATAAATAAACGTGCAAGAAATAGTTCCGATACTAGCACGTCCATATTCTTGTTAAGGGTCATCAAAAAATTCCTTGTGTTGTAAATAATAAAGGGAATGCCGGATTATACTAAAGCCAGCTTCCCGACATAACCTACTATTCCATACGAACACAGAAATATAAATGTATCTAAAACTGAATAACTCAAATCAAATTGGATTGCATTTGCATAATATACCTAATATTGGAATCTGTTTTGATCGTAAAAAATACAACTTGCAATCATTTAGATTATAGTTTTAAAAGAAATTGATTGCAATCGTAAATTGTGTAAAAATTGTTAATAACAATCTGCCTTAAATTTATTTTCCCCATGTAACGGTTATAAAATACGTTAAATCCGCACTATCTGCATTAACAAAAAATATACATTGGAATATTTAAAATAAAACGATTCATATTTATTTTCTAATAAGAATTGTTTCTTAATTGAAAGTATTTAATACTAATATAATGTAGTGGTTAATGTTTTAAAATGAATTCGCAATATGTCCGCAGCTCAGGTTGATTTGAAGAAATCCGTTTAAATTTTTCGAATTACATCTACTTGAATACAGGATAGGCAGGGTTGCATACAAATGGTAGTTCCGTAAATATTTAAAATATGTTAGTTCATTCAATATTTGCATCTGGGCTAATAAATAATAACAAATATAGCCGAAAAAAACAAAGTTTCGATTAAAACGAGTTTTTATAACCCCCCATAAAATTCCGATTAATTTTAAATACGAAAATAACGATATTTTTTCATGGAGAGGTATTTTTTTTAATATACCTTGTTTATACCTACACAAAAACCGGATTAGCAAAAAACCGATTGGACTCAACATATATTTCTTTACAGCATTTATCCCCCTGTCTTTATAGCGCACTCGATAAAGTCTTATTCAAAAGTAAACAAAATCTGCTATTTTTAAACGACATTTTTTTAATAAATAATTTGCGCGGTTGACCGAAGCGGAAACAAACAATAATTGTAATTTGTTATAACAATAATTCGAATTTAAAACGGGCTGTATAAAGAAAACCAGCCTATTGTCACTTCACTTTCCAATGGTGCTGATTGCTGCAAGAATTATTTAGCGATTTAGAGCATAATCAACACAATATATGCACATAAATATGTATTATTTCACAGATCTCAGGGTCAGCTTAGTAATACGTCGCCAAAATTATATAAAATTTAAGTAGGAATTATTTTTATTTATAACGTAAAAGCGCTATCTGACCCAATCTGATAAGTATATATCCCCTAAAGTTACCCCATTTTATTTAATTTGTCTCTCGTGAAAATATATATTTTATTTAAAATTTTCAGATATGTACATATATTTTAAATTTTTGCTTTAATTTTTGTCTCCTTTTAATATTTAATTAGATACCTTAAGATTAAAATAAGCTTAAAACGAAACAGCACAGCAACCCTTTTCTGTTCATTTTGAGAACACAAAACCCTCTTTTGTTAAAATTCGGCGCTGCACAAAATCCTGGCTTTTATATTTTCCAACAAAATACCACTTCGCAACCCTGGATTTTCACGAAGCGTTTCATTGGGGTCGTAGTTTTGCTACTTCGGGCCATTCGGTGTTGTATGCCATATTGTTCACACTGTCATCGCCATATTGAACACCCTGTCAACTATCTGTCAACCCTAAGATATCTCACTTGTATTCTTCCACAATGCGGTACGGCTGCGGTAATACTGACTTTGTGTACCAAACAAAGAGCATACATTTTCCTCATATACACAATAAGCCATCGCTCGGACTTCACTCCGATAGGAGTAGATTTGTTCCGTTTTGTGGAAAAAATTTGAAACCTAGTCCTCTACTTCGCTCAACTGAAAATCTGCTCCGCTGTGAGCGTGACGTCATCTTGGTGCAATTGTGGAATGTGAGCATACGAAAAAACCAAATAACAATTTTAATATTTGTGCGTTAATATTTCTGCCTGGTTTTAATCAATTATTGTGACATTAAAAAGCAAAATGAAGTGTGCAGTGCAAAGTGTAATAGTGAAAACAAAAGGAAAGCGTGCTATATAAGTTTTTTTCCGATTCCTACGGACGCACACCTGCCGAAAAAATGGAAGCAGTTCTGCCGGCGAGGACATGAATTAAACACCAAATCGAGCTTTGTGCTATGTGTGTGAGCTATGAACTTTTACACGGAACTCTGTTGGCCTTTCTTTGGTGAATTGTAGTAGGTATATTTCCATGGTGAATGTAGACAGATGCTGGTTTAGTTTGCTGGCAACGACATACATACAAAAGCAGTTTCTACAGTAAATAGATACATGAACTTCACTACCTACTCATTTTTGTTAGTATCTGATTCTTTTAGTGCTGGTATGAGGTAATGCACCAGTGGATAAGGTCGCCAGGCGCTAATTCAAGCGGCATCTTACCGCGCTGTTAGGTACCTAATACGAAGCAGTGCCCAAATTATTATACATTTAAAAGTTCAGCTTAAATTATGTTTTACTGACATAGAATATTTGCTTCCAAAAAAGCATGCATCCTCCCGGAAATGGTACAAAAGTCATCAAATAAAAGCTGTGGAGTCAACAGCAAATATAAATATGCACTCTGCATGGCTTTTTAAAATGGCAAGTCCAAAAATTCACTTTGTTGCACACTTTGCAAACACTGTTAATAAATCCATTTTTTTCATGTGCTAAAAATCGTCATTATCTAAAGGGCTACATATCCAAAATTATTGCTACGTGTTCCTAATTAATCAATCTTTGTATATTTATTGATTCCTGTAAAATTGGGCCATGTAATATTAAAATTAACACATTTTTCTGCATTGTTTACATATTTTTATATGCGTTTTGGCATTTCTCTCTCGCAATTGCACAAAGATGACGTCACGCAAAAATTACGCTCAAAAATCCTCTCTCATTGGCGCAATCTTGTATTCTATCATTCTTGGGTATTCATCAAACCTTATAAATGCATTGTAAACCATTGGGGTGTTCACAGTTCGTTCCAAATAGTGTCTCAAAATGTAGACGTCTACATTTTAAGACGTTTTCTAACCGTAAAATCTGTGGTGTTGTTGCTTCCCATACAAAATTGGAAAACGACGCCGTCTACATTTTGTCACACTCAAAGGTATGTTTTTTACGCGTCTACATTTTGCAACCTCGCAGCAGGGTTGCATTATGGCAATACTAATCACATTTTTTTTTATTTATTGGGCACGTTTTCTGTATTTGCATTTAATTTGAGCGCAATTTCTGATGAAAAGAAACAAATCAAGGAAAAGAAATAACAAATATTACGAATTGCTAATTAAGTTAAATAATTACAATTTTTCAGAAACAAAATCGAAAGGCGACATATAAAAAATGCACGCAAGGAAGAAATGTCTGGCAACACCAGCAAAGTTTTGAGACGATTTTGCGACGACTGCTAGAAAGGGGTGCTCACAGTTTGATGCTAAA